ACCACCTTCCCTAGCAGTGAGTTGGGCTCCTGTGTTGGCTGCAATGGGTTCCTATTTTAAGGATGCAGTTCACAAATATTTGACTTTCTGGTCCAGGATGCTCCCTCAGGATGGGATTTCTCTCTGCAGCTAGCAAGCACAATCCAGCAGTGTCTGGCTTGCTGGGAGCTGGAGCATCCCCCTCTTGGCTGGATGCTTTGAGCTGCCATGTTGTGGGGGCGGGGGGGATAACATTTGAGCAAGGAAAAGGCAGTCCCAGTCATAATGTGAATGGGAGATTCCCAATCTTTTGTTCCTCTCCAAGGGTTCTGTGGGCAGCTGAGAGGCCCATTGGCATGGATCTTCAAAGGATATGTTGTTATATGTGCCCATCCTGTTCTCCTTTTTGGCTTTTGCTACCCTGCTTTCTTCTCTTCCCTGGTAATCTTCAGGAGATGCATTGCACTGAGTTGTCATGTCCCCACAGTGTGCCGTTTCCCTTTGAGGTTTGTGCCACAAGGTCTCTCTCTGTCATGAACGTTTAATGTTGAACCCGTATGAGGTCGGGCTGAATTACTTACATGGCCCCTGTCTCTTTAGAGCATTCCAAACAGCCGTTTTTAGGCGTGCTTATGACACGTTTGATGCCAAGATATCAGCACTTGTGCAAAAGAACAGGCAGATTCTCACAGTGACAAAGAACCAACAGTAGAAAAACTGGATGTTCTGGTGACATAGCAATCACTGTGTGTAAGGCGTGCTGTTGTAAGCTTCACTGAGCATCTCCTTATGTATTCTGCCATGGAAATTGGGGAGGGCACAGACTGATTAGGTCACCCAGTCCAGGCCTCTGACAGCACAGGATTGCTCCCAGCAATAGCTGCTGCATCAAAAGAGCCCTGAGTCAAGCACAAGAGTATTTTAAATTCATAATCTGCGAACACTCATGCTCAGCGCTCTTCACCCCAGGAGGCAATCAGGCCTCCTTTCCCAGGAAGAGCGCTAATGGAGAAGGTTGGAGTACACCTCGGGGATTCAAGTGCCCACCGCTTGCTGTTACTTAACCTGCTTTGAAAGTCCAGCCTTTTCAAGCTGACTGTGGCAGGCAGCTGTGTCACCATCTTTTCATGTGCACCTGGTTTTTGCGCTTAGGAATAAGGGTTTCTTTTTAAAAACAAGAGTGCTACTCCCTGAACCTCATTATCAGGTGTGAGTTTCCCAAGAGACTTCTGCATTCATTCCCTTTCTCCCGCGTCCTTGTTGTCTGTCTCTCTCTGTCTCGATACCTGTGTCTGTGAAAATGGCAATTCCCCGTTTTGAAAGAGCCTCTGAGCACCGCTGACATCGTGCGTGATGACGGTACTTTTATGTAGGGTAGCGCTCTGCCATTCTTTCTGCTCCACTATACCATCGCTTCTCTTCCAGCATCCGTAGGCTGAAAATATGACTGGAGAGCAGAAACAGAGTCTCCAAAGGTTTTACAAAAAGGGCTTTAATCTTTTAAAGTTCCTTACGTTTTGCATATTGCCAAATGTGGGCCAGTTTCACTTGGTTGTTTTGTACTTAGAGTTCGATTCTCTCTCTCGCTCTCTGAAATTGTGGACTGAAATGACTTCTGCTGATTCGCTCACCCACACACCATCACCACACAATTTTCTTCCCACTCCTGCTGTCCCATAGACTTGAGCAAACCATGCATTGCATGCCTAAAAAATCTATCTTCTGCTTCCTCTGGCTTTGAAAATTGAGAGCACAGGGAAGGCTTAACAGTTGCCCATGAGGAAGGCCAGGCCTCAGCTCTCCGCTTGTGGTTGTCAGGTAACTGAGCACTTGCACCATCTTATCCCAGTGTAAATCTAGGGAGACAGAAACCCACTGTTTTGCCTTCTCAGTATGTGTTTAATGCTCTTGTAGCTTGGTTTTTGGAGGGACGTTTGGAGTCAACTTCTTCAGCTGCCTTTGTGGTATCTTCTCATGCTAAGAAATGAAAAAACCCATCCTGTGATAGTAAGGAATGTGGTGGGGGAAAGGATATTAATATCCAGATTGCTACTATGCTTTATCTTCACGGTGGCAGAAGCAGGAGTGGCATTGATGAGCCAACGTGCCTCTAAAGCTACCAAACACTCTTACTGGAATAAAGCCATTTGAAGAGAGACCCTCCTGGGTGTTTGGTTTCTGTGAATCCAGTCTTGGAATTGTACATGTCTTTTTATCCACAAACTCCTTCTCTCTTAGCAGAGTTGTATAAAGGGGGGAGCAAAGAAAAGTAAGAACATTATTCATTAGCCCTTGTGGCCCTGGGGTCAGAAGCTCTGGGACAGCCACTGGCAGGCAAGAATGCCAGGAGAAGAAGGTGCTCACGAAGAGCGTTGACTGTCCTATCTCAGTTCTTTCCAGTGGCTGGAATGGGGCCTGGGCAGAAATCTCTTCCTCTCCATCCTTTGCTGCAACTTCTTCCCCTTTCAGTCCTCCTCTGCTCTGGCTGAGCAAAAGAAAATGATGATTCCCTTTGACTGCGGCACCGAATACCCATCGAGGAGTCAACAGGCTTTGCTTTCTGGGAGGCTAGCACAGTGAAACCTGCTTATAATTGAGTGAAACTTGACTGGAAGCAGCATGAAGCTTCATTTGCAGCGTGGTGAAAATCCCTTGAACAGTATCAAAGCTGTCCAGGGCCGGCTTGAGTGGGGAGCAAGGCTTAAGATTTGGCATTGTGATGCACGCTCTACTTCTAAGGCTGCTTTGGGAGTTCAAAAAGCAGGGGTGGAGGTTACATGCTGCAGCTGCACATTCCAGTAAGCAGCTATTAATTAATTAATTAAGACACGCTCGAGTGTCATTAGGTGGTATCTTTTTTTACGCACACGTCAATCCCAGAAGGTTTCATCATGGGTAATGATGTCCGGGCCAGAGCAATTCATAGCGCTTAACTGTGCGGACGCCTGGCGCTTTAACCAACGCAGCAGAACGTTCTTGTGTCGTATCGTTGGCCCCAGCTAGCTGCGGTCTGAGATCATGTCACCCGTTGCCTCCCAAAGGAGGAAACAGCCCCGAAGTACAAGTGGTAAGTTAATGAATAGCCCACCTGTTGCTGGTCCAGGCGGGAAGTTAGCCTGGCAGTCATCCACAGCCTGGGAGTCAGAGAGAAAGGGAGCCCTTCTGGAAGGAATGAAAAGCACCAGTTGGTGCTGGAGAACAATGGCAGACTTGTCTCTAGTTGTAAGGCTGCTGTAATAAAGGTGCAAAGTTTTGTGTGAACTTCGTTGCTTGTTCGCTTTTTTTTTTTCATATTTTTCTCAGAGCAGCTGCAGGGTGATTATTGAGCAGCTTGTGGTTTAAGGTTACAAACTAAACGATCATTTTTACCTCCCCTGTTTCCATCCTGGGGGAAAAGAAACCCCATCCCATCGCAAAATAATTGAACAGATAAACTTAATTACGATGTCTTGTAGCTTACAAATATGAGTGGAATGCATTAGGCCAGAATAGGCTGTCGTATTGGGATCCTGTCGGATCTCACAGCAAAACAGGGTCAGGGCTGGGTCAGCACTGGGACAGGAGACGGTAAGGAACTATGGGGATGCGCTGAGTCAGCATGGAAGCAGGGCCCCACGTGGTGATAGGAAATAAGACACAAAATTGAGAGCCTGATGTGTAGTTACAGATCCTATTGATGCTCTTTATAAAGGCACGAGCGTTAACTTCAGTGTCCTGCCAGGTTGGATGAATCTGTCTCTTGCCTCTTGAAATTCCCCAGGCTGTTTCAGGCCTTGATATTCAAGTCCTTGCTAGACGTGCAGCTCTGGGCTCTGTTGCATGTGAAAGAGGAGGTTGTGTGCAAGCAGATGTTAGTTAAGAGCAAGGCAGAATCCTCTTTGCCGAACTCTACTTGCGTTGGGATGAGCTGGTGTTCATGTCCAGTTCTAAACTACTTCTCACATTGCCATGCGATGTTAATCAGCTGCAGTGCTTCAGCCCAGAGGTGGCTTCATTTCAGTGGTGGGTGAACGGAACCCTTTGCCAAGTTTGTATATCAGTAAGTACCCTTCGAGATCTTTGGGGTGAAAGGCATTGCACAACAGCAGGATTATTGTTCTAAGACTGTCAGGAGATATTGGCTAATTAGTAGTAGCTAAACCATTACTTTGCTTGGGAAAAATCAAAAGTGCTGAACATTTTGATCTTTTCCCCAGTGGTGTCGTCCCTCCCCCTTCCCCCCCCCAGCAAACGCCATCCTAATGAGAGCTATTCTTTGAAGCTCTGTTAGGTTGCATTGTTCCATGAAGTTTCTTTTTTGAAGAGCACTTCCTCCAACACTGTTTGCTTTAGAGCCTGTAGACAGACATTTGTCATTAGTTCTGTCTATTTTATCTAACCTAGTCTCTCATACAGCTGTCTTTTTTTTCTTATTTATCTGGCACCCACCACCCTAGTATCTGAGCTCCTCCCCAAATTAACAAGAGCATGAAATCCCCCCACCCCCCAGGTGGACTAGATCTCTCTCTCTCTCTCTCTCTCTCGGGGAGGCTTCTGGAATTCTTTTAGAACAAAGTGTGTGCCTGTCTTACTCTCTCTTCCTCAATTTAGTTGTTAGGGCTATTGTCGTGTTAAGTTTTGTGGTAGTCTGGAACCAGTTATCAGTAAAGCTCTGTCCCCTGCCATCAGGAGTTTGACCTGGGAAGTTGATGGTTTTATGGTTTCTGTGGGGTGTGACTGCTGCAGGAATATCCGGATGGTCCCAAAGTGAGTGGCCTTTCTTGGACCAGTACCATGGGTGACCATAAAGATGAAGGCCACCTTCTCATTCTCTGGAGTTTAACTAGCTGTTCTGTGGGGAGCCGGGAAGTTTGTAGTGTCCGGGTGATGCGGCCAGCCTTGCTTAGTGGAGCAGGTTCTTTGAAGCGTCCGTGTTAAAGGGCTGGAAAGTGACCAGGGAAGTGCGCATCTGCAACACGTGATGAGGGCATGTGAGGGAGAGGTGCTGAAATCGCTGATCGGATTGTTCTTACTCTCCACAGGAGCGAAGCCTGACAGGCAAGCTGGAACCCGTGTCTCCGGTCAGCCCCGCCCACCCTGACTCGGAGCTGGATCTGTTACCCTCCAGACTTTCGAAGGAGGAGCTGATCCAGAACATGGACCGAGTGGATCGGGAGATCACCATGGTGGAGCAGCAGATCTCCAAGCTGAAAAAGAAACAGGTAGGGTGGCCCAGCACTGATGGAGTGGTATGTCTGTCAGAGCATCCGCACGTCCCTGTAATGGCGGCCCGTCTGTTCCGCGTGTCCACTGCTGTCCGCCGAGGGGTGGCATTGCACAGTTCCACTGAGGGCAGCAATTGCAGCAGCTACTGTACGTAAGGCAAGGCAACTGCTAGCGCTTTAACCAGCGTCTCGCCTAGACTTCCCCTGGACAGCTCGCCGGCCCATCAGCCCTGTTGTTTGTACTGCATTAACACCAAGAGGCCCAAACCAAGACCAGGGATCCATTGTGCTGTGCGTGCACCTGGTAAGTGCCGATCCCGACCCACCTGGTGCTTACAACCTGAATAGAGAAGACAGACAAGGGGTGAGGTAAAGAAGTATTTTTATCCCCGTTATATAGATAGGGAAATGAGGCACAGAGAAACTAAGCCACATGCCCAGGGCCAAGCAAGAAGTGGGTGACAGAGCTGGCAATTGATCCCAGGTCCTCAATCCTGTGCATTGTAATCACAAGACTATTTTTCCTCCCAGCTAGATCTCCAGCAGCAGTACCACGGGGGGAATAGTGCTGCGGGTAATGCAGTGGTGGGAAATGTTAAAAAAAAAAAAAAAAAAAAAAGGCGATTGTGCTCTGGTTCTAAATCTGCGAATGCCAAATTCAGCGCTTGGATATTTCCACCCTGAGTCTCAGGAAGGGATTTGCTTCTCTGCAGTGCCCCGGCCATATAAAACTCCATCCGTTCTGCCTATATTGCATTATATGTTGCTGTTTGTTGTTCCCGACTCGTGGTGGTGCCTGGCACGCTTGGTAGTTCTGTAATCAGTGTGTGCACCAGTTGTCCTGTTCTCCCTCTTCGCCTGGTGTGTGTCCGTGTGTGTGGGTGTCCCAAAATAAAGCTGCAATACTGAGATTTCTCGTTGTAGCTGGAAAACCAACCCAAAGCTTTGTGTGTCGACGCGATAGGGCAGCGCAGCATCAGTGGCAGACTTGGGAACAGCGCCCTCTGCTGTTTTGTGACCTAACCTGCAGCCCCTGCTGTATTGCACCGAGTGTTACTCTGCTCCGTGTGCCTGGGCTCAGGCAGATGTAACAGAGGGCTCTGGGCAGCTCCCTTCCTGCAGTCAATTGAGGGGATGGGAGAAGAGACCATATCTGGTTGCCATCAAATTCTACTGCTGGGCCTTGGGTAGGCGTGTACCACTATTCTAGGGAAGCCCTAGGTCTCACCGTAAGGCCCTTGTTACTGTAGTATCTAGACACATGACTGTTTTCAATGTACATATCCTCCCTGCAGAGATGGCTGCTCTTCATGTTACAGATGAGCGCTGGGAGGCTAAGTGAGTTGCCCAAGGTCACACAGTATGTCTGTGGCAGAGCAGGGAATTGAACCCAGGTCTTCTAAATCTTAGGCTAGTGCTCTAACCACTGGACCATCCTTCCTTGTCTATGTAGCAGAGTAGAAGTCTGCCTGGTAGAAGACTCCACCAGCACATCCCAGGCTTATTGTTCCCACACAGATTACCATAACCCCATTAAGAGATTAACATGACAAAAGTACAGTGGCAGCCTGTGATTTTTATAAAGGTTTTTCAATGCCTAAAGCAAAGCAGTTCTCTTGTGTCTCCTTGTTACCCCTTGTTACTTCCCCGTCAGGAAGCTCTGTAATGCTTGCTGATGACTGCTAATCCCCACCCGCCCGAGAGATGAGCCAGCTCTCCTGATGTGCGTGTGCCCTGGAATTTATGAATTAAGGAGGCGGTATAATTGGGCTGTCATTCTGAATGAAAAACTGGGTCTATTTCCATGCTCCTAGAGGGAAAACAAGTTGCTGACGTTCCTTCCAAGTGCGGCAGAAACGGCACAGGAAGGGAATAATGAGTGTAATAAAAGAACTGAAGAGTCTCCTCTCGTTTCACACACACACAATCGCGCACGCCCATGCACACGCTCGTGCTCACGTGCACTCTCAGCAGGCTGTGCTGTAGCTGGCAGAGAACCAAGCTCTTTAGTCTCTTTATTGAAAGGCCATCCCAAATGCCCCTTTTTTGCTATGAATAGAGTTGAGGTTTTGATGAACAGATGCCTCTCCAGCCCCCTCGTAAGTGGAATCAGGACAGTTTGGTTTTGTTTTTAAATAGTGTGGTGTAATTAGTCCTAGACACCTGTTTTCAGTTGATTTCCCTACAGAGGTATCAAAAGGGCTGGAGCAGGGAGAGGGGAATGGAGGGGAGCCCGCAGGGCTAAGAAACAGCTGTGATGCCAGGTGAAATGAATGGCCCCAAAACTGCCTTTTCATTGGTGCAGCTGGAACATCTGGAGTGATTTAAAACCACAGAGGATTCCCTTGTTTTATGTTTTGGGAGTTGAGTGGAGTCTGGCCAGCAGTAAGATTCTGGTGCTTGCCACTGGAAGGCTGGTTCCTTTAAAGGCAGACCTGCCAGGACAATGGTGGCGTAATGATAAAGTTGGATTCAAAGGACGCTGTCAGCTTTAAACTCCTGGGCCAGATCCCTTGGTCTCCCCAAGCTGCTTTGCAGAGAAGCAGATGGAAGGATGTGGGGGAGGGCAGAATGGGTCAAAGGTAGCTTTAAGACATCTTTACATTCTCTGCTGATAGGGACCTGAAGCCTGCTCTCATCTTATGCCTGGCTCCCTATGCTCCAAGGGACTGTCCTGGCAGCTGGGGAATCAGCCAGATGCATCAGCTTTGCGACCATGCCCCCTTCGCTGAGGCCTGGGAGAGAAATTGGAATAGGAGCCGTAAGAGTGGCCAGGGAGATTTCCTTGCATGCTGCCTGGTCCTGCTGGCCTTTCTGCCTGCTTCACCTGACAGAGTGGCCCAAACTGACTGCAACGCAGCACTATGCACCAGGTGCTTTCCGCATCTGCAGGGGTGGTGCCCCTTCTCAGGCGGGGCTGCCTCCATGCACCCGTCTCAGGAAAGAAGCTGGCACTTTGCACCAACACTGTATTCATTACAGTTCCTTTAAAAAAAAAAAAAAAAAAAAAAAAGCCCTTGCTCCAAAAAGCTCCCAAGGGACCTTTGGTCCGGCATGCTGGCAGTGTCCATCCCCCGGTCAGTTTGCAGTGAAGGGGGATTTAGCCTATTGAGAGCAACAGGCTCCACTTAGTTAGAGGCTTAGTACTCCTGGAGCCACCTGGCTTTACCAAGGGTGCAGGGCTTCCAGGCCTGTGCAAGCCAGGTCACCAGTGAAGCACAGCTGGGCAGTTTGGCTTGTTTTCTAGTGGAAAGTTGATGTTAAGTCAGTGACTCTGGGAAAGCAAAACGAGATTGTCATTTTACCTTGGATTGGAGATTCCCCCAACTCCTCCAGGGTATAATTCACAGTAGCTGTGGGGACGGTGTCCTCCTAGCAGACAGCTCTGCAGCCCGGCTTTTCCAGAGCTGCTGGATACCCACAGATTGAAGTTAAAGGAGCTACAGGTACTTAGCACCTTTCAAAACCAGGCCATTGTCCTGGAAAGAAAAGGCTTTTATTGTTTGTCTTGGTCTCTCCCCCGGACATTGATTTTATAAATCCTCTGCAAAGGCTCAGATTAGTTACAAAGGCGGCAAAAGTAGCTGCTGACAGATAAACCCCCTTCTCCCTTTTCTTTGCGTGTGGTTCTGTTGCTTGGTGTGCAATCAGTTACAGATATTGACTGTGGCCTTCCCTCTCCTTAAGAAAGTTCAGTACATCTGGCCTTTTAGGATTCAGTGCAAGAGAAAATATTTGAGAGGTGTGGGGGAAAAAGAGAGAGCAGAAAAGTTCCTCTCTGTAATACTTTGAAAACATTTGGTTCATCTGGGCATCTGAGCCACTGACTTTTAAAGAACATGAGAGAGAAAACAAAAGATATTAGCCAGATCTTCCTTGAGCAAACAGTAGAGCAGTTGTATGAAGCCCTAATGTCTCAGTGCATTTTCCCTCTGTCCTTGGGAGGTCTTAGAGACCATTAAACACATTTGTACACAAAGCCTGTGCGCAAAAAAAAAAAAAAAAAAAAGGCAGCAGCAACAGCGTCTCCTTGGTCGTTCCAAAAATGGCCCTGAAGGCTCTTGCTGGGCTTGGCTGGCAGGAGGGGTTCTGATGAAGCAAAGTCTGATGAAGCAGCCAGGAGCTTTGCTTTCCTGAAATCCAATGCACCAGCGAGCTGCTTTGTCCACTGCCCCTCCCCGGCTTTATTCATGTGTGTTCAATCTTTTTCACTTCTCCCACTAGCCTTCTCTGTCATGACAAGGAAGGATAATCGCCATGCAGTTATTCCTGGCCATGGTACTAGGGATCTTGAAAAAAAAAAAACACACACCCACCCACCAAAAATTTTCTGGGATTTTCTTTCTTTGTAAATATTTTCTAAGCCATCTCCAGAATGCTTTTCGGAAGTGTAACGCTGACACCTGCTGGCAAAGGTGGAGCCAGCAGTGGCCTGTAGCCTTGCAGCACTGTAGGGGAGCCCAAGACTTGGCCTATTTGCCAAATCTGCCAGGTAGGTTTATCATGTTCAAGAACAGTTCCCCCAACTGAATTTTATCTGCTGTTTCTCAGCCTCTTTTTCTTAGAATATGTGTTAGAAGTAGATTTCCTGAGCTGGAAACCCTGTTTTTCTGTTTTAAGTTGCCATGTTCTTATGTGTGTAGGCTAATCACTGGTGACTTCTGCCCAGGAACTAGCATGTGCCAGGATTAAACATGAACATTTAAATGTTAGCTACCTCTGAGTAAGGGCAACCGTGCCAGAGACTGACTAGATTCACAGAAGACTGGAAAAACCAGACCCAGCCAAAGCTATTTCAGTTCATACCTCATGCAACTTGATCAAAGAGGAGGGATCTGTGCTTGCTGCCATATGCCCTGCAGATTAACTATTGTTATTACCGTACCATTGTCGCTGGGGAAGAGAAAGAGGTGCTGCCTTCATTTAGGAACTGATTGGCCTTAAAAGGAGAGGGAAGCTTACGCTGTCCCTAATGACAGGGCTGGGTGTTGCCTCGA